CATTGTCTCCTCTTCAAGGTGGTGTAGACATGTGTAGAGACAAACAGGCTATTAGGGGAGGGCATCGCTAGTAGGTTGGAGGCCTAGGTTGGAGGCCATTGTCTCCTTTTCAAGGTGGTGTAGACAGGTGTACACCAATCTCACGAGATCTCACTCAAAGAAGAATGACCGACAAAGAGATCAGGACAAGATTGGGAGAGCATGTTGAACGTCACCCAATGGCTGCCCCGAACCTTCCGTCGCTCTATCTCCTAGTAGTATCCCCTAGTATTCCCTGTCCCACTTCATGGATATGGGCAAACTCCGTGCCTGCTGCGTTGATTTTCAGCAGCCCTGGCCCAGCCGGGTTGATCGGCAGGAGCTCATTGGTGACAATGTGATCTTCGATAAACTCGGCCGTCAAAAGCACCGGGATCCTAGGACAGGAAAGGAAGGTTTCGGATGGAATGAATCGAATGAATCGAATATCTCTGTTCACCCGATCGCCTGGGCTTTGACACAGCTTTGCTTCACAGACAAGCATGTTTTTATCTACCATTCTACCATAACTCTCACAGGAATGCACCAACGTAAGAGAGTTCTTGTTGCATAGTCAACTTCAAGACCTTTTAGGGGGGGACCTTTCAACAATATGCCAGCTTGCCTTTAAAAGCAAAAACCGCACATCAATCCAGGCAAAAAGATAACAACAAGAGCCAGACGGGTGACAGAATGGTGGCGGACAGGTTGAAGGCCGGGGCCAACGGGGCATCCACGGCCGAAAAGCTTCGGTAAATGATGGCGCGCACGGCACAGAGCGCCAACACCAGGACGAACCTCACCACTTCCGTCATGGACCATGATGGAAAAAAAGCATATGCTTTTGAGTTAATAGCGATGGCCTCCAACCTAATAATCCTAATAGAGAGAGGAACCCCTCTTTTTCTTTGAGAACAGGACACGGAACACACGCCTTCAAAAAGAAAAGGGAGCAAAAGGATGAAAAAGTGGACGAAGGGCTTGTGTAAAGGGGTTGACGAAAAAGACTTATGTTGAAAGCCGAGGACATCTTGGTCAAGACACCTGTAGTATCCACAGTAGATCTTGAGCTCATCATGAAATTTGCTCCAGCCAGTCGGTGCAAAAATGGCCATGGCAGCTGGACCTCCACGGAGTTTCTTGGTGATTTGCATCAGGGCGAAGCGAGACCATCCAAGTCGTGCTGAGAGGTTCAAGGCAATCTGAGATGATGCACAGGCAAATGAGGCGAATGAGGCAATTCACTAAAGGTGGAGCCACACAAAGCTTACGTTTAAACAAAAGACGAAACAATGAACAACAGGTTCACGTCAACATCTGACCATTGCTCACCCATGCTCACTTTCGTCTAAGAAGCTCCCAAACAGGTGGTCGGGACCCAAGCGAACCCGCCACTGTTGATGGCTCCGGCCAGGGTCGCCGCCAAGCGACACGCCTCCGCAAGCCATGACGCACTTCAAAGGCCATAAAGGAGCCACCTAATAACGTCCTTGCTCCTAGTAGTATGGCCAGGAGCTACTAGTAGCTTCTTGTTACTACTAGTAAGGCACTTGTTACTACTAGCGATGCACTTGTTCCTAATAGCGTCCTTGCTCCTAGTAGCGATGCCCTTTGCTCCTAGTAGCGTTCTTGCTCGTAGTAAGGCCAGGAGCCCCTAATAGCGTCCTTGGCCTTCTTATGCACGCCTCCGCGAAGCCATGGGCCGAGAAGATCAAGCATGGCGCCGCCACGTAGATCTGGTCGCCGACCAACGGCCCCAGGCCCTCCGCGTCGCGCCTCAAACGGTGGAGCGTGCCTTTTGGGAGCTTCATGGAGCATCCAAAAACAAATGCAAAAACTGGATGTCATATGTTGAACCCCCTCCTCCCTACTTAATTTGAGTAGGTGCCTACTTAAACAAGCACGGAAGAGGTAGCTACTAGTAACTTGAATAGTACGCTACTAGCATGGACGCAGGATAGCTCACGCTTCAAACCTACTAATATGAATAGCCTCCAACCTACTAGCGATGGCCTCCACCTAGTAGCTTCTTGTTCCTAGTAGTAAGGCCAGGAGCTACTAGTAGCTTCTTCTTATATACTAAAAACAATCCGTTTGGGCTTCTCTTCCAAGCGACTTAGAGTGGACCAGCCAATCGTAGATACGTCCTTGGCTTGGCGAAGTGGTATCGTCGCGCACACAAGCTTAGACCCTATCAACAAAGGTCCAGTGATACGCCCAAAGCGCTCTCCCATGTAGTACCTGACCTAAAGCCCACTGTCCCTGAAAGCTCACCAATCAAACTGCAAGTGTTTATTCTTGAAGACTCCGAACGGCTTGGTTCAATCACCAATAACATTGCAAGACCTGTTTCAATTCGGACTCAAAAAAATGCTGGAAACTTGCAGGAGGATGTCTGGTGAAGACCACCATGCCCGTTTCTCCAATGGCAGTGCTGAAGGGGAGAAAGAATGACGCTGCCACATTGTACCCACTTGCAATCAGCAGAGAATAGATCTGTCCAATCAACCCGAAGATCAGGAAGCCTCACAGGAAGTCTGGCTGAGATGACTGTCATCTTGCAAAGTGTGACAAAGTAGCTCAAATCTTGAGGGCTTCAACTGCTCGCTTGTAGCAAAAGGAACCTCTAGTAGTAATGGCCTCCACCCTAATAGCCATGGCCTCCCCCTAGTAGCGTCCTTGTTACTAGTAGCTTCAAAGACCGTTCCTAGTAGCGTGCTTGCTCCTAATAGCGATGGGCTCCAGGCCTTCAAGCTGTTTGTCTAGATGTTCATACCAAAGGCTTCTTGTTACTACAGTCTAGATATTCTCTTGATCATTACAGGTCCTGCTCCTTCGAAGCCTTCCCTCAGCGGACATGAGACTCCACCGTTCGTTGCCAACGCAGACTCAAGTGCTCTTTTCCCGGTGCAAAGACTTGAATGGTTATTGGGTCCATCGTGATGGAACAAGTGCCTTACTAGTAGTAACAAGAAGCTAGTAGTAACAAGTGCATCGCTAGTAGTAACAGGTGCCTTACTAGTAGTAACAA